AAAGAAGTATTGAAATTTTTTCAAGCGAGAAATTTATTTTTTGGTCAAGCGAATTTCACCATTAATCTTAAATATAGATTGATTTCAACCGCTTTAACCAATTATATGAGAGGTATATTTTTAAAAATCATTCTATTTTATTGTATAGATTTTTTCCCCTCAATTTACCTTTACTTTTCAAATCGTTTTTTAAATCATAATCTGAACACAATATTAAAGTAATATTTTGTTTTATTTATGTTGTAATACTAGTCTAATCATATATATATATTATTAAAAGTAGTATTTTTTCCATACTTAGGTAGGCACATGATAAAGATTTACTTTTTTATAAGAGAGTCACATCAGAATATATTTTCTTAATTACATATAGAGTTCTACATAAACTCAAAAATAATTTAAATTATACTAACTTTAACTATTTTATATGGACTCTATTTAACAAATATTTATTTTTCATATTTTTTATCATTTTTTTTAAAATTTTCAAAGGTATTTTACTTGTTTTTGGTTTTTCAAAAACACTTTTCAGAAAATTCTACTTCCTTACTTTTCGTGTTTTTTTTGTTTTTACTGATTTTTAAAAATATTTTAAGCAATTTTTTTAATTTTTAGATACTCCTAACATAAATACACATAAAAAGTATAATTTTTGTGAAAAAAACTTTTAAAATTCATTAAATACCAAAAATACAAAAAAAAAAAGAGAATTCAATATATTTTTCGTATTTTTATGTATTTATTAATTTTTAAAAATATTTTTTTATAATTTTTTTTACTTTTTAGATACATTTAAGTAAGGTGCATCTAAAAAGTAAAAAAAATGCTTAAAATTTAAAAAATATTCACTAAAAAAAAAAACACACACACACACACAAAAAAAAAAAAACAAAAAACTCAATTTTCGAAAAAATTAATTCAAAAAACTCAAACCAAATTGCCCCCTCCCCTTTTTTTTTCTTGTTTTCTCGTGCATTATTTTATACCCAATACCAATTCTATATTATGGATTTGTCGTTTAAATTTTATAGTAATTCTATATATGAAATTATGCTTCTTTTTCTATATTATTTTATATAATCACAACTCACAGGAGGAAAAACCTGCACAACAATGATACTTGCAAAGAACCTCTAAATTTGGATTTACTGCTTAAGTTACTTTTTCAATTGTTAAACATTAAGTTCTTTTATGTTTTGACATCATATTACAGATAATTAATCACTTCACACACTGAGATGTATCTATCATTTGAATGTTTTCATTATTTTTTCTTTTGTAGGTTTAGATGTTATTATGTGATTATTTCTTAATTAGTCGTTGTTAAATTTCTTTTATATAGTTGATATTTTAATTTAATTAAAACTATTTATTTTATAATCTTATAATTTAATATAAGTATATATATATATATATATATATATCATATAAAATCATTATATAATAATCTAGTTACAACATATTTATATTTAATTTTTTAATAAATTTTATATAATTTCTATTTCTACATATTTTTTGTTTTCCAAATGAATATAAAAGAAAACTAAATAGTTAGAATTACTTTTAATTTTATGTTATTAATTCTTCTTCTAATTTAACTATTATTTTTAATATTAAAATGAGTATTTATTTTCCTATTTTATAATTTAACATATATCATACAAAATTTTTATATGATAATTATATTTTTATAATACGATAGAACTAAAATTATCAAAATACACAAATAATTTAACTAAAATTAATATATATAATTATTCAAGTAACAAGTTTATAAAACAACAACGCCAATATTTTCAAAATAAATAATTAAAATCATACTTTACATTTAATTTTAATTTTTACCATCAAAATTTAAATTAAAAAAAAAACAAGTGTATTGCACGGGTCAATTGCTAGTTATCTTTGAAAATTAACATAAAGTGATGAATTTTATTATTTAAATTAGTAAAAACGAAGTTAAAATACCATATAAATTTGTTATAAAAAAAATTCATAGTTTTTACTTTTTTATCGAGAAAAGTGGTAATAAATCCAATCTAAAGAGTGTATAAAATATTAGATCCAATAGATATTTTTTATTGGTGAGAGGTCCATACTTTGTGAAATAGTTTGGTGAGGAGAAGTCCTAGAGAACATTTCGTTTCTAATTTTACCTCTGGACTTATTAGATCTAGTAGATATTTTTTATTGGTGAGAGGTCCATACTTTGTGAATTAATTTGGTGAAAAGAAGTCCTTGAGAACATTTTGTTTCCAATTTTACCTCTGGACTTTTTTTTATCTGTTTGATTTTTCATTGACTATCTATTCAAATTTTTTTCTATCTGTTTAAATTTTTTCTATTTGTCCAAATTTTTGTGTGTAAATTTTCTATCTATTTAAAATTTATCTGTTCAATAGCATCAATTTGTTCTCATGTAGTGAAGATTCACAATCTAAACAAATCAAAACCAGTTACCACTGAGGGATACAAACTGCACACAACATTTTCAAAACTTTTTATATGTTTAAACTATCTATTTCATCGTCATCATCAACAAGGACTATTACCACCAAAACAAAAAATATATATATATAGTGAGGATGTATTGAATTGATAAAAAAAGTACAATAGATTTGTTCAATATTTGTTCAATTTTTTTTTTTTAAATTCTTATATCTATTCAATATACCCTTCAAATAAATTTATCTGTCCAAACTATCTATTCGGATTTGAGCCATCTCCTCCAAACCTTAGCAGATCTCAGCTCAAAATAAAGACAAATAAAAAAATAAAAAAACACAAACCACAACAAAGAATTCAACATCAGCGCTGTGGTGGTAGAGGAACGCTAATATTTCTACACAATAATAGATCTAGTCCTCATTCTACTGAAATCCACTACAAGTACTTACATAAATACACAAAAATAGATACATATATATACACACACATGTATGAAAGAATAAGCGTAGGAGTTTTACGTTGAAGCAGAGAAGGGGATGGATCTAAACTCCAACCATTGCTCCGCTACCGCCACCGCCACCGCACACGGTATTGACGTGAACTTGTCTTCAAGGAAGGCAAATCTGAGGCGTTAGATGAATTAGAGGAGCTCGTCTCAGAGGACATCATTGGGGCTTCGATCTCGCCACAATTGGCGGAGATCGCGGCGGCGTTAGAGAAGAGAATGGTGGCGAAGATCTGGAGTAGATGACGATGCTCAACGTTGCTTATTTGTCACCAAAATGTTCCGATGCAGAGGTGTTAGAGCTTCGATAGTGCGGTGCCACCGGAACCACCCCCACCACTACAAGTGTCAGCGGTGATGGAGGTGGTAAGGTCGGGGATGAAGAGGAGAAGAGAGAGATGGGAGAGAGGGGAGAGAGATGTTTAGGGTTTGGTTTCGAAAGAGACAGAAAGAGAGAGAGAGGACTTTAATTTCAAAAAAGAAAGAGTTTTATATGTAGAGGGGTATTTTAGTCATTTTGCTTAGCCATGTCCTTATGGACAAAGGAAAATTCTATTTCCACCCACCTAATAAACTCAGGGCAAATCTTTTCTCAATACACATTCCTATTAATTTAATTATTAAGTAATTATCTCAATCCACATCCTTAAAATTACAATTAAATCATTCACTCATAACATGTACACACACTTTACCCTCAAATACACACACTTCAATTTACCCCAATTTACATATCTACTTCCACCCACTTTGGTGAAGACCAAACTGACTTGGTTCAAATAGGAAGAAGTTCGTTCAAAAAAAAAAAAAAAAATCACTTTCCTCGCCTCAATTGAAGATTTCAGGAGCTTTATTGAATATCCACTAAACACTGTTGAAAACCTTATTTAAGGTAAGAAATCTTTTAATTTTATTATTACATTTATCATTTTGTTACTACATTGACAATTTTCGGATATCTCTTCACTCCATTGGCATAAAAGTGTGATTTTTCTGTAGTTGTGTGTGCTGTGTAGATCTCGGCACTGAGCTGTCGAATCTGTGTGTTTCATTCGGAACTTGGTAGCCGAATATTATGTATAAATTCGTCCAATTAGTTCCGAAAAAAATATATAATTTCGCACTTTGATTTCCGAATCTATTCTATGTTTTCGGTTCTTTTATGCCGAATAAATGTAATAATTTCGGTACTTAATTGTAGAAATATTTGTGTATGTTTGGTCCTGAAGTTCTGAATAATTTTTTTTTTTTTAATATATGATATAGAACCAAGTTATATAGGCCACCAATATTTGTTTTACTTTAGGTTCTTTTACAAAAATTTTATTTTATGGGTATGTTTATGTATTTATTTTTTTTCACGAAATTGTATACATAACAATAGAAACAAAATCTGTGCTGTATTGGTATTTCCACATGATATTGTTAGCTTAGTAGTTGGGTGTTCATAAATTTTGTTAGCTAAATAGCTGAACAAAAGAATTGCATTATATAAAGTATTAAAGCTTGAGTTATTTTGCCTTTAGGGTTTGTCATTTCAAAGCATTGAAATTGGTGCCAAATTTGGTCTTTGGTCGTATGCTTACAGCTACAACAAGTTTACAATCAATGGCATGTACAAAGACAAGTGATAGGCAGTCCTTTTATTGTTTGAAAAATGATGTTGGTATTGATTAATGACCATGTTGCCTTGGTAAATTGGCCGAAATGAAGTTAATCTGTTTTTCGCATGTTATGAACATCAACCAAACTAATTGGTGAATGGTCTGTATAGAATACAAATAGTTTTACTATATCCATGTTTACATTGTAATTTTTCAACAAATCCTAGTCTAAATCTTTCATAAGTAGTAGGGTTATGTATTTAACTTATTTTGTTAATTTCACATCATCCAAATTGTGAATTTAATGGTCTATAATTGCGTATTAGATTTCATTAAGGTGGCATGGTTAGGTTACTTATTACCCACATTGATGTGATCTTTTTATGGGAGTGCTTATTATGTTTCATTATATTGGGTTGATAAGAACAAATTTTCTTATGCAGATGGATGTCGGTCCTAATGTACGTTGGTCAGTAACAGCTTCGAACAGAAGACTTCGTGAATTAGAGAGACGTGGACGTAGACGTGGACGTGCTCGAGTGCATGATGATGACATGCACATTGCCATGGATGATGATCCTATACATGGTGCACCAGTTATGGATGATATTGCTATGGATGATGACCCTACTGGTGATGATGTTGACATTGTTGATGAAGATATCCTTACTCAGCCATTTCTGGGAGGTCCAACTGATCCATCAATCCTTAAAAGTTTTAAAAGTCATGTTGCCGCAGCTATTTGGAATGGTGCTTATGAAAGGGGGCCCTTAAAGTGTCATAATCACTCATCTAAGATTCGTTCGTGGCCGTGGTGGGAACAAGGAAACAACGCTACATTTGTAAACATTGTGGAGATGTCAGAACTTGCACAATTCGCTCGTTGCACGTACCGCTTTGTCAATAAAATTGTAGTGTCTAGTTTTGTTGAGAGATGGCAACCGGAGACAAATACCTTCCATTTGACTGTTCGAGAGATGACTATCACATTGGACAATGTCACCACTATCCTAGGGTTTCCCATTGTAGGCAAATCTATTAGTGTGCGTAAGTTGTCAGAAAGGCGGGCCATTGCATTAGTAGTTAATGCCTTGGAAATTGATGAGCAAGACGTCAGACATGAGATATGTACTGCCGGAGGCAATTCAATGAGGCTTGAGTGGTTGAGGACACACTTTCATAATGTCATAGACAATGATTCAATGGAAAGAATTACATGTGCAGGTAGAGCATACTTGCTATTTTTGTTGGGTTGTACACTTTTCAGTGACAAGACTTGTACTAGGGTCCCCGTGTTTGTTATCCGATTTGACGACTGTATCTTCATATGCTTGGGGTGCTGCTGTATTGACATACTTATATAGACAGATGGGGTACGCTAGCAGGTCTGGTATGAAACAAATAGCCAGTTACATGACACTTCTTGAGGGATGGGTTTATGAGAACTTTCGTGGATTCTGACCACACTTGAATATTAATTACACTCGAGACATGCCACATGTTTACCGTTGGACTTCCCAGAGAGAGTCTGGTGAAGAGACACAGTTGCAGGCTTTTCGAGAGGAGCTTGATAGGTTGGGTGTACATGATGTAAGTTAAAAAGCCCTTCAAAATTTAAAACTCTATATCATACAAAATTTACAGTTGTCATATCTTACAGTTTTTATTGTTTGTAGGTTATTTGGGACCCGTACCAGAGTTGCAGAGATGTCCAGCCATGTCAACCAGTTACGTTCTACCACAGTTGCCTAAAGTGTTTGGAAGTAGTTGAACCATATCACCCTAATAGAGTGCTGAGACAGTTTGGCAGGGTGCAGACAATCCCTAATCCACCACTTGGCCCTATGCGTGCTTCTCAAGAAGCCATAGCTCCATGCTACGATGTTATATATGCATACTTGCACATCATTTGGGAGGCATAGGACAACCATGTGTTATCTGATCGGAGGAGGAGTACACCGGTATGGCAACCTTGGGATTGTGTTCCTGGTTACATGGATTGGTATCAAACCATTACCCATATGTATGTAGAAAACCCAGCCCGTCGTTCTCAAGTGGACCTGACTATCCATCATTATCAGTATCCTAGCCAAGACGCACAAGTATCCTTTTTTTCATTTACATTGCAAATTATTTATGTAAACTGTTACAAGTTTGTACATAATTTTATATTTGTTCTCGTAATGCAACGTATGTCACAGATATATCAGATTACTCATTCTTTCGTTGAGGCTGGCTATGAGGACAGTGTTCAACATCCTAATAGGCTTTACAATGCAATTGATGCAATCAAACAACTTCTTCAAGATCAGCACATTAGTGAAGCTGCACCCAGCACATCCACTCAGGGTCAGTCTGCACCTAGCTCTCCCACTGCACATCGTTTTGGAGCACATTACACTCGCCGGTCACGTAGTTAATAGTAGTTCATAATGTTGGCACAAGTAGTTTCTCATGGTGTTGGTGGATGTATAAGGAGACAAATATTATTATTATCTTCGGATTATGTATTTTTTGGATTATGTACAAGCACACATGTAGTTTGTGATGATGTGGATGGATTGAACTACAATTTAGTATATATATATTTTACATACTTGTTTAATCTTATTACTTTTTAACAGTAATTGCACTGGGTTAATATTATTTTCATTACGTTTTGTGTTCAAACAATGTAAAAATAATATGACATCCATTCCATAAATTAGAGAACTATAACGCATATAATATTCTATTTTTTTTAAAAAAACTGACCATTAGAAAATCCAATGGCAAAATGATATCTACCTCGCTACTCTATGCTAGTAAATCATAAAAACTAATGTCTTAAAGCTGTCATTACTACTCTGTAATACATCAATCTATGTCAACTACATCAAATGTCTCTCGAGTAGCTACATTAGGTCCTATGTTGTCTTTGAATATTTGAATGCGGCTAACATATGCATTCTCCTATTCTGACGCACAAGGGTGATGATGAATTCGCCAAAACACGGCAATGGGAGGAACTGGATGACCGGCTTCCAAAAACACCTGCACGTACATCCAAAAAATTACATATCTTTACCAAATACATAAAATTTGCAATTACACAAATATTAGACAACAATGTTTGGTTATTTTCACAACTTATACTTGTACAAAATGATTTCCATTGACAAATCCAATGGCAATCTCGCGACGATCAGCTAGGGTTACTGGCGATGATCTCAAAGGTAAGAAAGTGAGACACTATTACAATGACAAGTTGTCATGACCCAAACTTGTCCCTATGGGTTAAGGACATAACCGGCCAGTAATCAAGGAATTACCTACGGCCTCAAACCCAACAAGACATAACTCATCAGAGTAAAGGGGCCAAACGGAAGCAACTTCCAAAAACACCTGCACGTACATCCAAAAAATTACATATCTTTACCAAATACATAAAATTTGCAATTACACAAATATTAGACAACAATGTTTGGTTATTTTCATAACTTATACTTGTACAAAATGATTTCCATTGACAAATCCAATGGCAATCTCGCGACGATCAGCTAGAGTTACTGGCGATGATCTCAAAGGTAAGAAAGTGAGACACTATTGCAATGACAAGTTGTTATGACCCAAACTTGTCCCTATGGGTTAAGGACATAATCGGCCAGTAATCAAGGGATTACCTACGGCCTCAAACCCAACAAGACATAACTCATCAGAGTAAAGGGGCCAAACGGAAGCAAAATTTAAAACTTTTGTTCATAGAGCTGTGCTTACATGGCACATCAAAATAGTCCATATATACACCTGTTAATAACTCACATCAAAGGGATAACAACACAAAGTTCTCTACATACATAGGATCATTCAAGTCTAAGTCAGTCAAACCCAAGGTTTATATACAAAAGTAATCTGATGTTTTCGCCAATATAAACAAACTATATCAAAAGAACAAAAGAGGCGAAGACAAGTCTCGTGCGTGAGATGCTTGGGCTGACTCTTCAAAACCTTGACTGTTTCTCACATGTTTCACCGAGGCTGGGTTTGGACGTCCCTTGGCTCACCTACATAGACATGAATGAGCGTGAGCGAAAGCCCAGTGAATAATATCAAATAAGGAAGATACATGAACAATCTTTGAAACAGTTACATCAGACGGCCTTGGGCCCAATTCATGTTTCTATTTAATGTATCAATCGACTAAGGTTCTAGATGTATCAAATGGCCTCGGGTCCAATTAACTCATACCCGACGGCCTTTGGCCCATCCATTCATGTCTAATGGCCTTTGGCCCAATCGTTCGTATCCGACAGCCTTTGGCCCAATCGTTCAGATCCAACGGCCTTCGGCCCAATCGTTTATATCCGACGGCCTTTGGCCCACTCGTTCATATCAAACTATCACTCCTGTCAGACGACCTTTGGCCCAATCATTCATATGTCAGACTATCATTCGTGTCAGACGGTCTTTGGCCCAATCATTTATATACCAGACTATTATTCGTGCCAGACGGCCTTTGGCCCAATCATTTATATACCAGACTATCATTCGTGCCAGACGGCCTTTGGCCCAATCATTCATATGTCATACTATCATTCATGTCGGACTATCATTCATGTCAGACGGCCTTTGGCCCAATCATTCATGTCAAACGGCCTTCGGCCCAATCAATTGTATCCAACGGCCTTTGGCCCAATCATATGGCATAACAAATATTTGTCCCCAATTCAATGTAACAAACTTATAAGACTTATATGGAAGTAAGCAATTGGACAAATAACATACTTCAAATATCTTTATTAAGATATTACTCACAGTGATCTGCCGGTGGATTTGCCCTCGTGCTTGACCCTACACATTTCATGAACATAATGGGTCACAAACGATTCATTCTGTTCTTAATTCATATATTCCTCTTAGGCTTCGTTCTTATTCTTTTAACTCATTTATAATGCTTAATCCATGCCTAAGAGCACTTACAGATGGAAGAGAACGAAAAATGAAACTCAATTCAACTTTACAAAATTTCAGAAACAAGGTTCCTCACTCGAGCAGACCCCTTTGGTCTGCAAAAGTGCTGGTTGCCTCATATCTACGCTCGAGCGTGACTTCGGACGCTCGAGCTGAAAGTCATACTACATGGCTCCCCGCTTGAGCGTGAATGTCCCCACTCGAGTGGACATTAATGTCTGCAAAGAAAATTCTGGAAGCTCGCATTTCACGCTCGAGCGGCGTTTTCCCCGCTCAAGCGGACATGCCAAATTCTGGGTTTTCCATAATTGTTCTTCAAGTTCAAACTCGACCTCCAAAGGTCCAAAACTCATAATTTTGGTTCAAAACATGCAAATACATTATACCACATGAGAATAGAAGTATATGGGATCGAATTGTTCAAAATCACAATCTAATTCTCAAATAAATCCTCATTTCTTTTGTATGGTCCAAACTTATGCACTCAAGCTTCCTACCAATTTCATAACTTCATCAATCATGCATGCATGTCAATTTTTGACTTCATTCCTATTCCAAATGGTGCAAATGGTGTTCAAAATCATGAAGCTACACAAAATTGCTCATGCATGTAAAGTTTGGTGTTCAATTCTTCATATTCAACATGCTTCATGCTTGAACATACAAAATTATAACAATTATGCACATGCATGTTCATACAAGCTCCAAATTCAACAAATTCAATTCAAGTTATGTTCTTGACCACAATTAAACCTTGAATTTACAAAATTACAAACTCAAACTTATGAATCCACTCACCTAGGAGCTTCAAACACCCAAATTCTAGCTAATTCTTTGAGTTTAACCTCCCATTCTCAAGCCTTTAGTTAAATCTTCACTTTGAGCTCCCTCTCTCTCTCTAAGTTCGGTTCTCTCTCTCTCTAGAGAGTAAAATCTGATTTGAGCTCAAGCAAATGAATGTAAGTGTATATTGGCCCCTTATATATAAGCTCCTTTAATCACATTTGGTTATAGCTAATTAATAGCACTTAATTAATCGTTCTGAATCTAATTATTTTGATCTGAATAAATTTGCAATTAAATTTCATCGTAGGCTCTAAAAATGACGCTAATCATAATGGCGTAGTCAATTTTGGCTTCTGTGGCTGATTAGGCCTTCAATTAAATTCTAGAGTAGTTAAATCAAACAGATTTTCCTACGGTGAACAGATAGAAATTCAAAACCACATATATTCACATAATGGCATTCAAAATCATATCAAACACATAATCACAATCACAATTAAGATTAATTAGCATAATATGGACCAGGGTTATCACACAAGTGGTACAAGACTATATTATAAAATGATGCAATAAGATGCCCCATGTCAGGCATAGTCATCAACGATCAAAGCCTGGGCTATTTTCAAAATATGAAACTGTTTCTTCTTATGCACTTTTGAAGTTCTCTTTTTCTTTGACTGACTAGAAGCTAATGTGCTCTGGCTATCATGCCCATCGTCAACCAACTCAAATGCACACGGGTCACGACGACAAGATATATCAATTTTCTTATGTCCTCGACGTGGATTAGGTTTCACATCGGGCTCAATAAGAAAAGTGCTCGCTGGATTTGCAATTTCCCTCAACTTCTTCAACATATCCAATTGCATGGCAATATCAGACTCTTTGAACCGCTTCAAAATCAACTCAAGTTCTGGGATACAAGTCAATTCCAACTTCTGTTCCTTTGGATTATGCACACATATAGTAAGGCACGTCCAATGTACATGTATGCTACTGAGTGGAATATGACGGTCTTGTCTCATGTAATCTGCAATCTCGTGAGCACAAGGTCAACCATGTGTGTGCCTAAGAACACACCCACATGTTGCAACATCAATTCCAGCTGAATTTGCTCTCTTACTCTCTGCCAACACGTACTCCAATGCACAAATAGACACATTACCCCAGAGCTCTCTGAATTGAGAAGGTTTGAATTGATGTTGCACAGTTGTCAAACTTTTCTCGAATGATGCTTTAACTTGAATGTGCTGCAACTCAAGTAGACAATGTATTTTTTCAAATGAAATCTCAAATGTCGTTTGACTTGAACCTAATTGCCTCTTCAATCTAGCATGAGCACTCTCAACCCTGTTCATATGGATGTAAACCAAAATAGTCAACCATAATAATTAAAAATAACAATATGATTTATAATAAATTAAAAAATATATATCTTACCGATTGGTTGTAACATTGCCAAAATGCATACACATGTTTGTATGTACCGCAATGAATTTTTCTTGATACGGATTCAACCAACTCACAGTAACATACTTGATTGCCTCCAAATAGTTATTGAAATCCTTATGTAGTATTGCAAGGTGATCATTGTATTCTTCTTCAGTCGATGACAATATCAAATAGTTCCATGTAGTGTTAAACTTGTCTCATTTTTCTTTTGTCTCAAACATTTTCTTACATTTTGTCAATACATTCTTATTAATATTCGAACGACATAACAAATGTCGAGCATTCGAAAAGGTGTTGTCAATGGCATTCATCAAAGCAAGCTCTTTGTCTGTGACAATGACTTCAGGTAAAACACTGTCGTCCATAAGATCACGCAATGTTTGTAACGCCCATGCATAATTATCAACCCGCTTAGTTTGCAAGTATGCGATAGCCACGGAGAATGTCATATGAGTTGATGTTATTCCCACAATTTCAAGAAGAGGAAGCAGATATCTATTGGTCTTATACGTGCAATCCATAATCAACACACAAGGGAATGTACGAAGCAAATCCAAACTCACTGGATGTGCCCAAAAAAAGTCTGTGACAGTCATAGAGCCTTCCTCACATCGATGACGGTCAATGTACTTATGTTTCGCTAATTCACCCAACAGTTGTTCCATCTGGCATCTACCAGCTTTCTGTAGAACCCTACATCGATGTCGTACATTGTAAACTGTCTTCATTGTGCTCATATTAAGGGCATCCCTCTGTTTGTGTGTAATGAGTGTCTATTTTGGTCTTACTAGGCTCTTTGACATATCTACTAATAGCGACTTTTCATTAGCTAACAATCTCCCTGCATATGAATGTCCTTGGAGATGCTCCGTAACTGGATGATTATGCAGCCCGCAAACTACATTCAATGTCCATTCATCGTTTGTTTTCAACTTGAATGCCCTCAAATCAAATGGACATTCGCACTTCTTTGTACCAGTTTGTCTCAATAAGTCTTTTGAATCATCTTTCAACTTTTAACGCAATCTATGCTTCTCACTCCGCTCACAAGTAAGATAAATTCTTGGTCTCTTACGACCGCCACCATAGTCCGACGTCCTTATAATAATAACAAAGCCATTTATCCTTCCAATGTCACGTACCTAAGTGAGCAATTCATCTTTGTTGTCGAAAACCTCTATACAATGTCACACAACTTTCATAAGAATAAACTAAACAAGCAAACTAATACAAATTTATGAACTTACAAATTTTATGTTAAAAATTACCTGTTTAGCTGTAAAATGACTAGTACAATCCACCATAATATCTGATCGAACCTCAGGTTCTTCAGTGCATGCCATCTAAAGAGGAGGGAGAAAAAATTTAATTCAGTTCTATAGAGCCAAAATCAATAAAAAAATTCAGTCCTAAAAAAACGAAAATAACAACAAATTTCGGCACTCTAATTTCGAAAATATTAATTTTATTCGGAACTTACTTACCGAAATAAATTTAAAAAATCGTAATTAAAGTAATGACATATTCATATTATTTCGGTGGTTGATTTTCGAATTAATTTAAAAAATTTGGCACTGCGTTTCCGACTAAAAAACGCAAAAAAACAAAAAAAAAATACTGCACAATTTTACCTTTTCATCACTGATTTTGCTGTCACCATTGCTTGAGTTTGAATTTCCATAAGTTTGCAACTCTTCCATATCAAAATCAAGTAAAAATTGTTGAACTAATAATTAAACGAAGTTAATAATTGAGTATAAACTTAAAGATTAAAGCAATATGGGAGATGTTTTGTTTGCAAATAACAGAGAGGAGTATAGAGTGTGTAAGAAGTAAAGTGACCACAAAAGAAAAATTAGGGTTTAATTTTTTTGTTTCAAAAACTGTATATTGAGATATTTTTATTCCTAAAAGATGTGTATAGAGAATTTATATATATAATATTAAGAGTGTTGATCAATGGCTATTATAGTAATTTTTAATCATGATCTAATTATCATTAAGTTAATTTTTCATTAAGTGTGTTCCCTGAGTTTATCAGGTGGGTGGAAATAGAATTTCCCATGGACAAAGTATTTCAGTGCCTAAACTTCTGACCAAACAAAATTAAAATTTAAACTTTTGGCCTGAGTGCGTTTTTCTGTCTTTATGCTACATAATCATTTGCTAGCAAGGAACGAAAAATTCATGTGAGGGAGGGAGGGTCTGGCTAAGGTGCTACCTTCCTTTTTAAGGTTTAGAAAGTAGGATTTGATGTACGAAGAGACAACTTCTGTGATTGATAGAACGTAACACGTACACTTCGCTCATATGTGTAGACACCCCATTTTTGACCGTCCTTAAGACTTGAACACCATCGTTTGAACACTCGGTGATCATCCATGTTCGTGTTCGTTTTGAGATCCCAAGGACTCGGCTGCGCGCCTTGCCTTAGGATCTCTCGACTTGATTGTTTTGTGCTTAGTTGTGGACCAAGGACTTGTGATTTTTTTTGGCACTTGAGGGTAGGAAGTGGCTTGTTAGCCATCTCTTAAACCCACCAACCGTGGCATGAAGCCACCGGCCTTGCTTTCTTTCTACGGACCAAATGTTTGGTCAATCGGCACGAATATCTGGTCGGTCGGCCATTTATTTGGCCGATTGTCTCTTTTTCTGGCCGGTACCTCCTTTTTGCCTGTTTCAGGCATTGTGCATGCCAGCTGTGCCAGCTGGAGTGCACAGACTTGTCCTCCACGTGTATGGAGGATTTGCACCCTTTGCTCTAGCTTCTTGAGGAAGTTTGACCCCTTTGCCTTAAACTTCTCTAAGAAGCTTTGGCCCCTTGGTTCCTCTATAAAAAGAGGGCCTCTGCTTTCATTTGGGGGGTTAGAAAAATCAGAGATATATATCATAGATACCACTCTCTCTCTACATTTGTGTGTGTTAGAGTGCCTTAAAGTGTGTTTTTTTGTTCTTATTTTTTAACATAAACACCTAGAGTTACACCATCCTTGTGAGCTGAGGTACTAGGAGGTTTTTTTTAAGGTCTTTGAGCTGGTTTTGATCAGAGACAGCTGCTGGTCTTGTGTTCTTGAGGTTATTCTTCAAGGGTGAGTCTACTTGCTTTATATTCTCCATTTTTGCACTAGCTTTTAGCCTATCTTGCATGCTGTTTTGAGCTTAGTGTATAACTGATAAAAGTTCTGTATTTTCATGCTTAAGATGTTTGTTTAAGGTCATTTTGGTGTTGGGGGTCGTCCTCCCCCCCCCCTTAGGCCTTGTTTGGCCTCTTTTTGTGCCTTCTTTGTTGAGCTTTGGAACTTTTGTGTATTGGCCTACTCACCACTAAAATCCAAAGGATTTTCAGTGGTGGTGAAGTGGTTTTGAGGTCTTTTATAGGGGAGGGACACCCCTCTCCCTTTGTGTCTCATTTGCTTGTGTTTTTAGCTCATAAGGGTAGCATGCATGCTTAGTTGTTTTTGGCTCCATCTCAATGGGTATTTAGTGATATTTCGTCATGTTATGCCTCTGCTTTGAATTGGCTTAATGGTCTCTTACATGCATCATATGCTTGTCTTGTAATACCATGTTTTGGCCTAACACGCATCATGATTGTAAGATGGCATTTTAGCATGATTTTGGTTTGGTTCCAAGAACATTATAGCTCTGTTTTGCCATGCTTAAGGTCTGTCTTGGGTCTTTGGAGTCATGCTTGCCATGCTTTGTATAGCCACCTTGCATTTTGACTTGTTAGCCTTGGGTGTGTGAGTCATAAGCATGTATTACTTAGGCTATTTCGTGATTTGGAATCACTTACCATGCTATTTCAATCCATATTCCATGCTTGTATGCGTGCATTTGCCATCCTTTCATTGCTTTGAGGGGTAGTTGTTTTGTGCCTTAAAAATGAGTCATTGTGCATGCCACTTTGTTTAAGTCCTTGGGCTGCCACATCAGTGGGTTTTGGGGTTTGTTTTGATGCATAGAAACTCTATTTTTGGTTTGCATAATCCATGCCATGTGTGGTCATGATAGTTGTAGTGGAATGCTCCCTTTTGTAGCCTTGAATGCCCCTTGTTTCATGCCCATTTCTTAACATGTTTTGGCTTCGTTCCATGCATGATTTAGTTTGGTTTTGGAGCGCCCTAAGACTGTTTTAAGTCATTTTGGTCCTTTGGGGTTTGGTTAACATAGCTATGGTTTGACCCCCCCTTTGTTGGCCTCAAGTTTTGAGCCCTATTGCACGCCTTGCTTGCATGTTTTGTTGGATTTGGCATCATCCTTCGCATGTTTTTCAGAGTTTAACATGATTGTAAAATGCCCATGTTTGTCTCTCTTAAGTATGCTTAGAGTTGCCTCTTTTATGCCTTTGGTGATGGGCCTTGGTGCATGCATGCTTGCATATGTGATTTGTGCTCTTGTTGCATCATTTTTGGCCACTGTTTGGGACATGGCTGAGGTCCCCCATTTCGGTTTAAGTCCATCCTTGTATATAGTTGCATATTTGGTAGGTCGCATCTTGTCACATCATGCTTGCATTATATCATGTTTGCATGCTCTTGTTACATTAGTTTAGCTTGCATGTTTAGTTTGCATTGCATTTGGCATGTTTTGCTAACTTAGCCTCATATTCCATACTTGAGCCATTTTGTATACTTGAGACATATTGCATACATGCATTGCATTATGTTTGGTTTGGTTTGGGGTGTCAAACCAAACATGAGGAGTGAGGTGTGTTCGTACTTAAAGTGACGAAACACGTCTCAATCCTCGGTCGCCGACGCCCTTGATCTCAAAATGATAGGGCGTGAATCATTTATTTGTTTTGTTGCATTCATTTATATCGATTTGCAAACTTGGTACCTTTGGCCATCACGCATCGAAATGCATGATTGGTGGCCTAAGGACCGAGGGCCATGCTCCCTTGAGTTCATCGCATGATAGGGAGAGTGGCTATGCACACATTGTCTTGAAAATACCTTGCCATAGATTGTCTGTCCTCTGCTACAGCAAAACTAGTATTCTGCAGGAATGGATGGCCGGTCGGCCACATTCAGTGCCAGCCGGCTACCAAAGTCTAGCCGGTGGTCCTACTTTTGGTCGATGGAAATTTTCCCATGGTCGGTGGACCTACATTCAGGTCGGTGACATCCCACTACACTCAGGGAGTGATTCAGAAGGGTTCTGAAAACTTTCATAACTTTTAGAGAAACAAGGCAGTGTAAACAGAGGCAATAGTGGCGTGGCAACGGGTTTCCGAGCGAGGCGAATTGAGCATGCATCATCCCATCATTCCGAGGCGAGGCTGCGGCCACCTCCCTTCTGATTTTAATTTGTTAATTAATTAGAAGTTTTGTAATATTTAATTAGCTAGAGTAGTTAATTATTTATTTGGGTTTGTATTATTTATTCGGACCCTCCGACGAGAGGGCAAATTTGTAATAAGTGTGCGTGCGTGTGTGAATGTCTTCCAACCCCACATCTTTCTCCCTTTTATTTACTAGTTTTTGATGGTTAGTTTAGGGCATGTTTCAATTAGCATACTTATGCTCGCATGTTTGCATCATTCATCTATATTGTATGCACCGGGCTCGGCGCATCATGCTAACTGTATTGTATTCCAATTCCAAGTTGAATACATGTATTGAATTGTCGCATCTCATATGCCATTCTTAGGGTAGCCAAGCCTATTTTAGTTGCATTTTTCATGCGTTGCATTAGCCATCTTAACATGAACTAGGATCATGCA